ACCTGCGTACCTTCTCTATCGCATCGGGGATTTTACTCCCCGCGGTGATCGCGGAATATTTCTTCGAGAACACCAAGAATAAACAGCAGCAACTAACATCAGATTGCAAAGTTTCATAACAGTTTTTCTCGCTTCTTCACAGCCATGATACCTGCAAACGATAGGGCGTGCGACTGTGAGTGACTTGGAGCGCAGCCAGTGCAGATTTTCCACCATTTGTAACAGGCTCTGCATGGCATCATTGCTAGGGAAAGGCCACCCTGGCTGCGCTCCATCCTACACGCCGTCGCAGGCCCTATCGTTTACAAGGATCATGACTGTGATTATCGGTGGAATATTGAGCGTGAATTTCATGGAAGCACTTTATTGTGCATTATTTCTATAGTAAACCATGGACGTACCTGTCGTTGCTCTATCATAAGCACGTAGGTTATAGCAGGATTCAAACACATGCCATTGATGTCAACTTTCGTCTGTCCAAGCATCGTTACAATGTTTGGATAGATTAGAAGAGGAACTGAAGAATAAAGATAAGTTACCTGCTGAAAATCTTCCATTTTATTATTTGGATGTTTCTTTTTCTCGGGAAAAAACGGCTAAAAACGACTAAATAATAAAATGAAGAATTCTCAAAGAACAAGATGCGCCACGAATTTACTTTGGAAACGTAATATAAAATCTCGGCACGTTTTGCTATACATTTTGCTATACGTTTTGCTATGCTATGCTACACAGTACGCTAGTAAGGCACGCTTCAGCCCTTGTTTCGAAAAAAAAATTGCCAAAAAAATGAAAAGATGGCATTTGCCCATTGCTGAGAAGTTTTGTACTATATGCCTACAAAAAAAACAGAATAATTGAATGGCTCACATGTGCCACCAGTCTTGTTCCCACAACCCGCCGGTCGCACAACATCGTCAGTTCGGTGGAAGTATCTGGAAGATAGCCTAATAAATTACAGTGACTGTTGTTCTGTTTCTTGCACACCAAGGTTACACTTTTGAGACGTTTGCAACATTTAATAGACCCCCTTTCAGGTTCAATGTTGCTTTGGGACCGCTGACCTTCCTCTAGTAATGTGCGGTACAGCGGATCGCGATGCGAGAGATGACGGCTGTTGCTTGGTGATTTCCGAGAGGTCAACCTGTACTGAACCAGTATGGTTACCACCATTGAAGATAGCCTGAATTAAGACATTCACTCGCCAAATCATATGAAGTAGCTCGGTTCTGCAAAGTTCATCTGTACGCGCTAACCTGACACTTTCCCGTACGGGAATTCCCATACATGTCAGCAGCATCAAATCCGAGCTTGTAGTAGTTGATCATTGAGTACGAAAGAAGACCCTGAATAATATGAAGCATTGCAAACAGGGAGTGAAGGGAAACGAAAACTGGCTACAGCTCCAAGCTAGGACCATTTAAAAGCCATTCCATGACCACTACTTTTACCTGGGCGTCAGACATCCAGACGAGCTGGTAGGTGGAGAGACCGAGCTCACTGCCAATATTTGGCCTCATATTCTTCCAGGTGACCACCAATGCGGCCTCAGCTCTAAACGTTGAAGCACCAGCGACTCCCTCTGAAGGACTACTTTTCAGTTCTGGTGCAGGAAAACTTCCTTTACTGTGCAGAACGTTTCGTGGAACTCAGCAGTGGATGAGAGTAGCATAATGGCAAAGGATTAGTTTACGTCATCAAATGGATTACTGTCGTTCAAAGTCCAACACTTGCAAAAGCTCAACAATTTTACAAAAGCTGGGAACGTCGACTTACGCTGTAGAGCCCTTTGTAGTGCGTCAAGAAACTGCTCCGACTGATCATCACATCGGAAGTGAGCTGGTTTGCCAAGGCATGGGGCACGTCCCGTCAAAGGATCCCTACCTATAAAGAAAATGACCTATTCTTTGAAACATAGGACGCATTCATTTGCATGTTTGCGACAATGGACGCATAAAGTTTCTGAGAGCAGCAACAACTTATTTAGTACTTTTTTGCATATCCTAATCTTCTGAATCACTTTGAAATACTTAGTATCCGAAACTGGCCAACCAGGTAGTAAAGAAAACAAAAACACGCTCTAGGCGAAGGTGCAACCTATGCACGAGTGCCTTCCCACCAAAAATAGGATAAATGCCTAAAGTTCCGCTGACGATGGCACGGAAAAAATCCGTGGTAAAAGTCCACAATGATATATGATGAAAAAAGAATCTTGGCATCTTTATTCGTGCTTCTCGCCAATGCTCTTGTGGTGACAAAGAACCAATATTTCACACAATTCTCGAAGCGAGTTTCGGGACTTTTCAGGAATAGTGAGCAGGGCACGTCGTACGACGTCGTTTAGTGGCAACCTAGTCTCACGCTCAACAGCGGTTTTTCCCGAGGAAACTATGAGTATTTTCGGAAAAGCGGTAAAAAGTGGTAGGAAGAAGGGAAAATACAGTAAGGAGGAGCCGGTAGGAAGGATGGGGAAGGGGAGCCGTACTAACGGAGGAAGTCTGAGGGAGGGGGGCGCATTTTGCGAAAGTTTTCCCCAACGAATGACTTGCCCCATGTTAATGGGACGTGCCCATGTTCAAGGATGAAGTACTTACCCGCCTGTACTGCTCCTCTACGCGTTTCCACTCGATAGAAGACTCTAGAATCTGCACCTTGACCACTTTGAATTCGTTGTCTGAAACGAAAGTACACTGAACGGAAACTGGAACTTCATTTACAACGAAAAGACTAAGAAGAGGTAGCTCCCCAGTTATTAGGGGGCTGTGTTCTGAAAAATATTACCTTTTCTCACCCACCAGCCCTATGCTCGCAACTGTCCAGAGTTTGTGTACTTTATGGCCTCCCAAACGAGAAGCATTGGTCAGGATTTAGTGGAAAGGTCCGAAATTAGCAGGAGGTTTTATTACACTACATAGATATCCGTGGGCAAAATAGAAACATAATAAGAGAAAATCGGTCCCGAAAATCTGAAAAACGAAGGGAAAGGACGAAAAAATTGACGCCTACTTGCAGAGATAAGGTCCGATAACAGCTGGATCACTTTGTGTGGGCCAGTCAACATCCAGACCCAGCTGGAGAGTGGACGAGTCGTCGGAGAAATACGCAAAGCTGATGTAACCATTGGTTGAGATCTAAATTGTAGAACTATTTTGTCGATGAAATTTCTTATGAAGTGGTCACGGATGGGTCAAGAAGAAAGAGCGATTGCTCAACCCTAGAGGTCTAAGGAGGACCGCGCCAATCATGGGAGTTTTCTCAGCGACTTGGCTCATGGTTGCTGGACATGAGTTGGATGGATATCATGAACCGTAGTGGCCACATACGACTTGACAGTTTAACATTCCAGTAAATAGAATGCTAAAAAAACTACTGAACTTCTCAAGCGTTCCGACAGGAGGTCGCTAGGTTATGGTAGCACACAACAGGAACAATGGGGGAGGGGTTAGCTTGCAGTGGTTCATAATCAGAGTGAACCACAGGGTAGTTCCCCTGAATGCCTAAGTAGATTTCATACTGTCTGGGCATTTTTCAAAGTGTTTTTCTGATTTCTGAGAAACAAATTCGAGATTTAAGGCTTCCTCCGGATCTCTTGATCTATCTTCTAATGTTCAATGGATTCTGTTTCTTCCTTTGGGAGCACAAGCGACATCTCATAATCATTCAGAGAGCGAATGAAAATCAGGCTTATTCCGCTTTGTAATTTTAACTGTACTTTCTGATTAGGTGGAGAGAGAGAGGAAATGCAATAAGGAAGGCACAATACATAGCAGGACTGCCACCGAGCATAGATTCCACCCCTATGATCAGCTTGGAGCTATATACTACGACTTATGGATTACTTCAAAACACGATGTGCGATGTTGGAATGAAGGATTTCCATTTGGAAATCAACCTTCCTGCCGAAAACTTTTATTAAACCCCAACTCTACGAGCACATTCCTGCACTCCACGTGACTTCCTCACCATTAATCAAGAAAACAGGTATACCTGATTATGTTCAAAGATCAAATAGCAGATAGGTATTTTCAAAAGTTCCCATAGTTCCCCCAATGTTCTATCTTCCGGACGCCCCCGCTTGTTGGTGACTCAGGTCAGGTGCTACACATCGCTGCGTAATAAAGCAAATAGGGACGGAGCGAGCTCGTGATAAAAAAGACGTTTCGAAATCAATAGCAGTCACATATGTAAAGAATTCATAGATCTAATCCATAGGAGATCGTCAGCAATAACCACCAGATTTCATATAGAAGCACTTGAAACAAACCGTGGAAGTGTGGTAGTGAGACGATTTCACTCCCCCCCCCCCCCCCCCCCCCCCCCCCCCCCCCTCTCAAAATGGGGAAACTTATGTTGGATGGAAGGGACTAAAAGCGGCATCTGCTGAAACCACAGCCTCTTACAATAGAACAGTTGTGCATGAAGTGGTCTATTTCCTCTCGGATAGAAGGGTTCGAAATGAGAAGACAGGAGAACAAAAGAAGAAAATGAAAGAAATTGAAGATATTGAAGGAAAATTGGGTGTCGATATACTCTAAGTAGAGATTTGTCACAAGCTTGGCCCGCAGGGCTTCCCAAATCCAATATAAATGTTGAAGAAGAAGGCGACCTGACACCCCCCCCCCCAACTGATTGTGACTATATCAACTGCACATATCATTTTTGGGCCGATATTCAACGGAGACTAACACCACCTGAACAGCGGTGAGAAAGGGTGGCTATTCAGGTTCATAGTGATGGGACAAACAACGGAGGGGACTGGATGATATTCTATTTTTATGTTTTCTTTTTAATCACTTACCAACGTGTAATTGTAGCGCCCTCCATAGAACGGGAAAAAGTTGTGCAGGCGAACATTCAGCCCGTTCTGCCGTTGATTGTCAGAGATGTAGCGATCGCCGAATTCTTCGCCATAGCGCACCAGATTACCTGATTGAAGTTCATTCCAATGTAAATATCTTTTTCAGGAGGCGGTGCTGTCAGCCGGTTGGGTTGTAATAAAACGCTTTTGCATGAGATATAAGCAGACAGGTGGACGACATGGTGAAGTGGCATGTGGCACACGGTCCGGGGGTCAAATTCCGGATCGACTCCCGCCCAGGCCAACCAAGCCTTCTACCCTCCGGGGACGGTGAATTGGTACCAGATTCGTCTGGGAGGATAAAACACTGACTTGTACATCGGCTGGCCCCGCAAGTCATTGTATAGGCCACATCGCATTCAATAAGCCACTACGATTTTGAATGGAAGTAGAATGCGTGGCGCATTCCCATCCTATAGGCCACCTCGCATTCAATAAGCCACTACGATTCTGAAAGGAAGTAGAATGCGTGTCGCACTCCAAAAAGTGATTGGTCAGCGGCAAATACTTTATCCTTTACGTTTAGAGCAGACAGAATCAATCATATCCATCAGAAAACAGTTACTGATTTCAAAGCTAAGGTGAGCGCTGCAATGAATTGAAGGAAAGCAACAGAGGATCCAGCAAATGAATTGCGAAAGTGCAGTAAAAAATTAATTAAAAGCAGGTTATGAAGGCGTTTAGACCAGTAGGAGGCGAATAATTAGAGCTGATTACTTCCAGAGAGAACTGCGGAGATATATCGCTTCTCATGTTTTGACCCCTTGCTCCTGGCGACTGACTGCTTACATGTTCACCTTTCTCCGGGAATTCCCGACTTTCCTGTGGGACAGTTCCCTTTCGAAAAGAATAAAGAATGGTTCAATTCTTGACGCCTGTCGCTCACTATCAGTGCGTTCTATTGACAATTCGCTCGGCAAACATAATGGAAAAATTCTAGTCTCATGGAGAAACTCAGTAAACTTCAGCGATACCTTCATATTCCGTGAAACTCGCTGTGTTTTGAAATCCGAGGTCCGGAAACGGTCTCGGTGGCTGGATCTGAAGAAGAAAATCATAACGAAGGAACGCTCTGAACTTATAAATGTAAACGTACTTGTCTGAGGAAATCCTGCTGTGTCTGTCGAGCGGTGTCGGGAAATTGAGCTTGAAGGGGTCCACCAACGACAAGCAGCAGTAGTAAGCTGCTGCCGAACATGGCGAAAAGCCGACTGACTCAGTCAGAGGCTGCCGATGGGGACGTCCCAACGTGTACTGGCAGAGCTGAGTCATGCGCGCTGATACGACGCTCTCCAGGCAATCTCGACAATTTTCTCATGATGTGCTTGAATAATAATGTGGAAAATGGAACCGTGTACTTTTCAAGGAAACATCTTTACTTTGGAATTTGTAGGTATAAAAATACTTCATCACCAAAGTATTACTTTTAACAAGTGTGGATGGGGTGCGGATTGGAGCGGCAGCCTTGTCAACCAATTTTTGCGAACTTACGATGGTATTATTGGTGGGAAAAACCGCTCCGACTACGCTCCAATCCACGCTCCCAACCACACCCTTCGCGTTCGCAAGGATAATGAGGGTAGGTGTGTGAAACGCAGCTTAAAGGCATATATCTCGATAACTCGGAACTCGGTCTTAAATGCTAGTAGGGTACTTTATAGTGGATTAGAACGCCAAAAAAACGAAGTGAAACGGTCAAAACTTGCGAAGAAAAGTCTTCGTTCCTGACTCAAAAGCGATTTCGGACGAGTTTCCCGTAGGCATCTTGCCAATAACCGCTACGATACGGCTGCACGTATGTACTCATATATCCATGCAGCACCGCGGCCGCTTCATATCAATCCCTTCGCTTCATATTTTACTTAGCAAATGAAGCAATACGAGCATCAGGTACGGTCGTCCATTGTGAGTGGGCGGGCGCGGTGGGTGTCCGGGTCGGTATGTTATAAATTGATAGCGCCTAAGGGCACCTTTTCTTGGGAAAGCCGCTACGCAGCCCCTGCCAGGGGCACGGAATTCCGTCCTGCCAGGCGTATTAATCCATTCTCGTCTCAGGGATTTATCGTGACAACTGCCTTTAACAGAAGATGTCCACCTGACATGGGGCTTCCCTCCGTTCTGTAATCGTGACTTTTTTCTTTCTTGATCGTAGTGAAGATCAGAAGGGTTTCCCGACAAAGGTGAGCGATAATAGGAGCACACTGCGTGCTTCACGCAAGCTTCGCAGGTGATCGCCATTGGATTCCTTGAGAAGGAAACTCGCGACATACAAAAAATGCTCTCAATATGAAAGGCTTTCCCCGTTGTTGACGTGCCTGGAGAGTTGATACTGCTGGGTGCTGGAACCAGGACACAGAATAGTGCCGTGTGGAATTTTGGCTAAACATGATCCTCCGATCTTCTTCTTCGACAAGACCCCCTTCCACAACCTACACTCCATATCCCTGAGAAGCGGTAGGCGTACACTTTACATCACCGCAATTGTCGGGTCGCAATCAGCGGCTCGCACCTGCGGCGTTTCCATCATTGGTTGCTCCCTCCCTAAATCGATCTTTACCCGATCGCCATTGGTAGAGCAACGAGGCCGAACGCCCGCGGACTCCGACAGTCCGCAATGATGAGGACGTACTTCATTCGAATGTTGCGACGACCGTGCTTGTGGGGACGCATGTAATTATCACCCTCGTTAAACAC